AGCCGTGACCTTCTCCGAGAGGTAGCTCAGATATCAGTGCCTGGAGAGTCCCAGACTGTACATTTGTGTGACTCTGTTTGTCTTTGACTTCCCAGGCCCTAGAAATCTATACTTAGTACTTGCTGGGTGAATTATTTTGGTAATGATTTTTTTTTTAAGATTTATTTATTTATTTGAAAGACAGAGAGAGAGAGGTAGAGACAGAGAGAAAGGTCTTTCATCTGCTGGTTCACTCCACAATTGGCTACAGTGGCCGGAACAGCACCGATCCGAGCCAGGAGCCAGGAGCTTCTTCCAGGTCTCCCACGCGGGTGCAGGGGCCCAAGCACTTGGGCCATCTTCTATCACTTTCCCAGGCCATAGCAGAGAGCTGGATCAGAAGTGAAGCAACCAGGACTGGAACTGGTGCCCATATGGGATGCCGGCACTGCAGGCAGTGGCTTTACCTGCTACACCACACTGGCCTGTGTGCATCTATCTTGAGATTGTTAGGGTTGGAAATGCCTAGAATTAATGACGTAGTTTTTTTCAATGGTTACATTCTGGCAAGGATCAGAAAAACAGCAATGGCCTTGATTCCACAACTTGTCATTGTGACCTTAGGGGTGAGTCTATTTCAGCTCTGAGTCTGTTTTCACATCTGTAAAACTAGGGTTCGGGGGTGGGTTCTGTGGTGCAGGGAGTTAAGCTGCTGCTTTGGGACTCCCACATCCCATATCAGAGTGTGTAGGGGTCGGCGCCACGGCTCACTAGGCTAATCCTCCGCCTAGTGGCGCCGGCACACCGGGTTCTAGTCCCGATCGGGGCACCAGATTCTGTCCCGGTTGCCCCTCTTCCAGGCCAGCTCTCTGCTGTGGCCAGGGAGTGCAGTGGAGGATGGCCCAAGTGCTTGGGCCCTGCACCCGCATGGGAGACCAGGAGAAGCAACTGGCTCCTGGCTTCAGGTCAGCGCGGTGCACCAGCCGCAGTGGCCATTGGAGGGTGAACCAACGGGAAAGGAAGACCTCTCTGTCTCTCTCTCTCACTGTCCACTCTGCCTGTCAAAAATAAAAAAAAAAATAAAAAAATAAACAGAGTGTGTGGGATTGAGTTCCGCCTCCACTTCTGATCCAGCTTCCTGCTAATGCTCCTGGGAGGCAGCAGATGCTGGCTCAAGTACTTGGTTTCTCCCGCTCATGTGAGAGGCTAGGGTGTCCTGGCCCTTCCATGGCTGTTGCAGGCATCTGGGGAGTGAATCAGCAGATGGATGATCTCTCTCTCTCTCTCTCTCTCTCTCTCTCCCCCTTCGTGTGTGTGTGAACCCAGGCGCTCTGATATAGGACACAGGTGTCTTGAACGGCTCGCTCACTGCTCACTCCTGCCTCTGCGGGACTTTGCTTGCTTCCTGCCTGCAGTGAGGCGAGATCATGTGTCTAACTTCTTGCCAGCAGGATGTGGGCAGATCTGATGTGTCTCACTTTTGGGCCAGCACCGTAAACAGCATGCTTTTTCCACATCTCTCCCCTTCCTGTTAACTCAGACCCGTGGTGACCCACCTGCACCGGAACAGCTGAAGATAATATCCTAGGATGGCCCAGCATGCGTGTGAAAAGCCCCGACCCCCTGAATGACCACATGGAGAGAGTTGGAACCTCTCAAGGTTTGCATTACCTTAGCAGAAGCTGCGCTCAGGAGCCAGTGGTAGCTATCAAACCATGCACCTGCTAAGAGACATAGGTGTCTTAACCATTCGGCCAAATGCTTGTCCCTCCATGAACTTTTTGAAATCCCTGCATATACTCTACAACGCATTTGGAACATTCATCAAGATATATCAAAAGTTGGGTCTTTATATATTTCAAAGGATTAAAATCATACAAAGTACACTCTCCAATAATTACAAATCAGTGATAAAAGTATATCCCCCCAAATACTCATATTTAGAAATCAAGCAAAACTGCCTTAAATCACTCAAAGAAGAAATCACAAATAAAATATTCTGGCTTGAATAATATGAAAAGATACATACATTTTAAAAAAAGATTTATTTATTTGGAAGTCAGAGTTACAGAGAGGGACAGAGAGATTGAGAGAGATCTTCCATTCACTGGTTCACTCCCCAAGTGGCCATATTGGCCAGGCCAAAGCTGAGAGCCTGGAACTCCATCCAGGTCTCCCACATGGGTGGCAAGGGCCCAAGCACTTGGGCCATCTTCTGCTCTTTTTCCCAGGCCATTAGCAGGGAGCAGGATCAGAAGTGGAGCAGTTGGGACAGGAATTAGCACCCACATGGGATGCTGTCATTGCAGGTGGTGGATTTACCAGTTACGTCACAACCCTGACACTGATACATCAAATTTATAGGATATGTCTAAAACAGGACATGAAGGGACATGTGTACACACACACACACACACACACACAGAAAGAGAGAGCAAGCGAGCGAGCTCCCATCATCTGGCTCACTCTCCAATGCCTACAGCAACTGGGGTCAAGAGCAGAAGCCTGGAACTCAATCCAGGTCTCCAGGTGGCTGTCAGGAACATGACCATTTGAGCCATCATTGCTGCCTTCCAGCTGTTAGCTAATGGAGTCAGGAGTGGAGCCAGGTATCAAACCTAGGCACTCTGATATGGGATGTGGGAAGTGCCCAAACCACTTTCTTGACCGCCAGGCCAAATGCCCACCCCAAAATTATAGTTCTAAATGCTTTATTTAAAAGAGGAAAGGCGAGCTAAGCATTGAAGTGTAATGGGTTAAGTTGATGCTTCCTTGCAATGTCAGAACCCTTATTGGAATGCCAGTGAGTCCTGGCTGCTCTGCTCCAGATCCAGCTCCCTACTAATGCACCTGGGAAGGCAGCAGAAGATAATTGAAAAGTCAAGAAAGGTAACTCACCATACTACCAGACTCAAAAATTAAAACACACACGATCATGTCAATAAATGGAGAAAAACACTTTCCCCTCCAAAACGTATTCATGGTTCTCACTAGGCCTATTTAACACTGAACCAGAAGTCCTAGACATCTGGGAACTCCTTGTAAATAATTGTAAATTGTGCTTGTGTATATGAAAACCCAAAGAATTCCTTATGAAAGGAAAAAAAAATCCACCAGAACAAATGACTGAACTCAGCAAAGTTGTGGATTACAAAGTAAAAAAAAAAAAATACAAAAATCAATTGCATTTCTGTGTTCTAGTAGTAAGTAATTGGAAAATGAATTTAAAAATGATTTCACTTGCTTAGCATAAAAATCATATAGAAGTTAGGAATTTTGCAAGGAGTTGCCAGATGTCTCACTGAAGGCAACAAAACATTGCTGACAAATTAAAGATCTAAATAAATGGAGAGAGATGCCACAGTCAGGGATTGGAGGCTCCATATTGAGATGCCCAGGGGCTGGTGCTGGGGCATAGTAGCTTAAGCCTCGTCCTGCAGTGCCGGCATCCTGTATGGTCGCCAGTTCATGTTCCGGCTGCTCCTCTTCCATTCCAGCTCTTTGCTAATGGCCTGCAACACAGTGGATGATGGCTTAAGTGCTTGGGCCCCTGTACCTATGTGGGAGACCCAGAAGAAGCTCCTGGATCCTGACTTCAGATTGGCCCAGCTCTAGCCATTGTGGCCATTTGGGGGAGTGAACCAGCGGATGGAAGAGTTCTTTCACTGTTTCTCCCTCTTTCTGTCTGTAACTCTGCCTCTCAAATAAACACATCTAAAAAATATTAAAATGTCCATTCTTTCCAAATTGAATGGAATCAGCTGATTCCAAAATTTCTATAGAAATGTAAAGAATCTAGGAAAACCAAAGCCCAAAACAATCTTGATGACTGCCAGAGGACCTATGGTACCAGACTTCAAAGCAAACTACAAAGCTATGATGACCAAGGTAGTGTGCTGTTAGTGCAAGGGCCAATGAGCAGAACAGAACAGAACAGTGTTGAGAACAGACCCACACTTATGTCATCAATTTAACTTTTTTTACAGCTGTATCACATCTGTTTATTCACAAAGTGGAAGAACACGGATCTTAGTTAAAACAAACGCTTGTATGTTACATCATTTTAACAACTCAGAAGTTATCTCTGACTTAAAAACGCTCTTAAAAACATTTTCTTAAATTAAAATGCAAGGATGCAACTAGTATACAACTGTTGCTGATGTGCAATTACCATGCAACCCTAGCTCCTTTCATTGTTTCTTTTTTTATAATTTATTTGATAGGTAGAGTTATAGACAGTGAGAGACATAGAGAAAGGTCTTCCTTCCGTTGGTTCACCCCCCCAAATGGCTGCCACAGCCAGTGCTGTGCCCAAGCACTTGGGCCATCCTCCACTGCCCTCCCGGGCCACAACAGAGAGCTGGACTGGAAGAGGAGCAACCGGGACTAGAACCTGGGGTACTGGCGCTGCAGGTGGAGGATTAGCCTAGTGAGCCACAGCGCCAGCCAATTGATTCATTTTTAATTATCTTTATATACAGAAGATCAACTCTATACTGAGTAAAGATTTCAACAGTTTGCACACACACAGACACACAAAGTATAAAGTACTGTTTGAAGATCAGTTTTACCGTTAATTCTCATACTACAACACATTAAGGACTGAGGTCCTACATAGGGAGCAAGTGCACAGTAACTCCTGTTGTTGATTTAACAATTGACACTCTTATTTATGATGTCAGTAATCACCCGAGCCTCTTGTCATGAGCTGCCAAGGCTATGGAAACTTCTTGAGTTCACAAACTCTGATCTTATTTAGACAAGGCCATAATCAAAGTGGAAGTTCTCTCCTCCCTTCAGAGAAAGGTACTTCTTTCTTTGATGGCCTGTTCTTTCCATTGGGATCCCACTCACAGAGATCTTTCATTTAGGTCATTTTTTGCCACAGTGTCTTGACTTTCCATGCCTGAAATGCTCTCATGGGCTTTTTAGCCAGATCCAAATGCCTTAAGGGCTGATTCTGGGACCAGAGTGCTGTTTATGGCATTTGCCATTCGCCATTCTTTTTTTTTTTTTGACAGGCAGAGTGGACAGAGAGAGAGACAGAGAGAAAGGTCTTCCTTTGCCGTTGGTTCACCCTCCAATGGCCGCCGTGGCCGGCGCGCTGCGGCCAGCGCACCGCGCTGATCCGGTGGCAGGAGCCAGGAGCCAGGTGCTTTTCCTGGTCTCCCATGGGGTGCAGGGCCCAAGCACCTGGGCCATCCTCCACTGCACTCCCTGGCCACAGCAGAGGGCTGGCCTGGAAGAGGGGCAACCAGGACAGAATCCGGCGCCCCGACCGGGACTAGAACCTGGTGTGCCGGCGCCGCTAGGCGGAGGATTAGCCTAGTGAGCCACGGCGCCGGCCATTCGCCATTCTATGAGTCTGCTGTGTATCCCGCTTCCCATGTTGGATCGTTCTCTCCTTTTTAATTCTATCAATTATTATTAACCAAGCCACTATTGATAATTCTATGCAGCACATCTCTGGCATTGAAGTCAAAAGGTCAAAGGCAAGTCAAAGTCAAAGGCAAGAATTGCATTAGGTCCTAGCCTAATGCTGCCATCCATCCTTGGTGTGAAATGGACTCCTAGGAAAGGAAATTGGCTATCTGGGACTGGATAAATGTTTCCTTTTACTAGATAGCATTTTTTGGGCTTCAGCAGCAGATAATCTCCCCGGAATGGTACAATGCGAGCATCAGGATTGCATCCACTCAACTCAGAAATACGGTCTGAGCAAAGTCCCACACACGTCACAACATACTGACTCCGAACTTCCTCTCCCTTTGTATTCTTTGTAACAATTGGATATTGCATCTCATCTTTATTTCTTGAAGGGCTTTCTTTAGCCATTTCAATATCACTTACTTCAAAATTAGTTAAGACAGAGCCACCTGCTTGTTGGAAATCCTGGGCTAAGGACAAAGCAACATATCGACAGTCTACAATGCCAGTGTATGGACAATCTACAGGCATCAGACCCCTGCAATATGATGCCCTCTTCTTTGTATCTTCCTGCTGGATCAGCCTCAGGCCTTGGGCACCATTCTCAGGCCTCTCATTCAGGGCCTGAAGTCTGGGAATTTCTTCTTGTTCAATAGCTACTATAAGCTGGCACTGGCCTGGTGCTATGGTCACCCCTGCACAGTGACCAGGGCCTCCCTGATGCTGACCCACATGCCCTGGGGAAGCCCCCCACCGTAACGCAGCGCTGCCACCATCACCTTAGCCCCCTCCCCTCCCTCAGCCTGACTCCACCAAACCAACTGAATGAAGAGAATATTTTCAACAAATGAAGCTAACCCAAACAGATAACCTTATAGAGGTCAGGAGAAACGAAGACCCTCACAGTAAACCCATAAATTAACAGGGGATGACCACACAGCTAGACATTAAAGACCAAACCAGGCCAGCACTGTGGCATAGTGGGTAAAACTGACACCTGCATTGCTGGCATCCCATATGGGCACTGGTTTGAGAGCCAGCTGCTCCACTTCTGATCCAGTTCTCTGCTACGGCCTGGGAAAGCAGTAGAAGATGGCCCGAGTCCTTGGGCCCCTGCACCTGCACTGGAGACCTGGAAGAAGCTTCTGACTCCTGGCTTCAGATCGGCTCAGCTCTGGCCATTGAGGCCAACTGGGAAGTGAACTAGCAGATGGAAAACCTCTCTCTGCCTCTCCTTCTCTCTCTGTGTAACTCTTTCAAATAAATAAATATTTTTTTTTTTTTTTAAAAAGACCAGACCATAATGCACTCAAAAGAATACACAGGGAAAACATCTTCACAACCTTGGGGCTTTAGAAGACACAAGAAGCACTAACCATAAAAAGAAAAAAAAAAAGACATCATTAAAATAAAACTCTTCTGCTCTCCAAAATCATTAAGAAAATAAACAGGCAAGTCACAGACTGAGGGTGGTGGTGGTACTATAAATATACACATCTAATGAAGGACTTCTTTATTCTATATAGGATTCCTACTATTGAGCAATAAGAAAAAATGGCCAGAGATCTGGACATTTCAGGGAAAATGATGTCATCAGTAAGTATATGAAAATTAAGCATCATTAGTCATCATGCAGATTAAAACCACAGTGCTGTAACATTAGGATGGCTAAAACTACAAAGACTGACAGCAGCAAATGTTGGCAAGGACACAGAACTGGAACCCTCATAACTGCATGTTTACCTCCACTTTGGGAAATCTTTTGGCAGTTCCTTATACGGAAATTTTACTATTAGTTGTTTCACAAGTGTAATGAAGACATGCCCACAAAGAATACGTGAAATGTTTGTTTGCAATAGCCCGAAACTAACTAATCCACACGTTCATAAAGGATAAATATGTTCAAGAATCAGAATATCCTTGAGTAGCACAAAGAAACAACTATGGATACATGCAGCAATGTTGAATTTCAGACATGTAGAGCCACAAAAGCAGACATAAAGGTGAACATACTGTATAACTCCATTTATGTGGAATTCAAGAACAGAAAAATGGTTGCTGAGAGGGGAATGAATTCCCTGGAAAGGGGCATGAGGGGAACTTTCTGGAATGATGGAAAGTTTATTTCTGGATTGAGGTTAGGGTTACACAGGTGTATAGATTTGTCAAAAGTGATTAAAATGCAAGGCTAAAATGTATGCACTTTGCTATTTACCATTCACATCTGGATACAAAGCATTTTTGCCTCTGAAAATTAATATTAAAAATCTGATGTCAGAGGGCTTTCTGTGGTTTCTAAGAGCTGTTCACAGGGATGTGGTGACTTCTCTCCCTTTACAAAAATCTTGTCCTTTGTCAGCTCTTCAATATAAAGCTTATTTTTGAACTCACTAAATTTTCTGGTGAAACTCTGCTTCATATATATATATAGTTTTAACTATATATATATATATATATATATATAGTTCCAAGTTTTTTTCTTGTACTTAACAATTCATCATGCTCTCCTAGTTACACATTAGAAGTCACAAAGTCACCTCAAAAATAGTTCACTAGGACTGGTGCAGTGGCGCAGTGTGTTAATGCCCTGGCCTGAAGTGCCGGCATCCCATATAGGCTCCGGTTCAAGTCCTGGCTGCTCCACTTCTGATCCAGTTCTCTGCTGTGGCCTGGGAAAGCAGTAGAAGATGGCACCCACGTGGGAGACCTAGAAGCTCCTGGCTTTGGATTGGCGCAGCTCCAGCCGTTGAGGCCAACTGGGGAGTGAACCCTCGGATGGAAGACCTCTCTCTTTCAAATTAGTAAATAATAAATAAATCTTTAAAAATAGTTTACTCAACTCCTTTTAAATAAAAAAGCATGCCCGGATAGACTGATTTGTCTAGGATGATAGTTATTCATTTCAGAAACACATAAACTGTGCATTGTTTTGTAAATACTAATAGTTGGGCAAAGATAATAGCTTAACTTTGTAAATAAATGTGGATTAAACAACTGTGTGCTCTAACTGGCAACTATGAAAATATTAGAAAATTGGAATATCTTAGATATATGTGTATATATCCGTTATATTTTAAAAATGCACATATTTTATATGGACCAGAGCATTTCCAAACCCACAGGTGCTTTGGCTGCTTCCGTGAATACTGTGGCTTTCGGGTGAAGTGATTTGTGCCATGGCTTTCGGGTGAAGTGGGTTGTGTCGTGGCTTTCGGGTGAAGTGGGCTGTGCCGTGGCTTTCGGGTGAAGTGGGTTGTGCCGTTGCTTTCGGGTGAAGTGGGTTGTGTCATGGCTTTCGGGTGAAGTGGGTTGTGTTGGTTTCATAGCTGGTGCATTTCTACCATAGCCTTTGGCAAAGCTGTGCTGGTGATTTATAAAGCTGGGCTAATTAAAGGACTTCCGCATTAAAAAAAATCCTGCAGTCAGTGAAGAGCATAAATGATATTCCTGTACTATAATGGAAGGTAAACATGGAAAAACTGAACTTGAAACAAGTTTGGCAGTTCTGGTTGTGATGAACAGAGAAACGCTTAAAAATGCTTAAATGATGGAGAAACACTTTTCATTTTATAGGAAAATTTTTATTTGATAAATACAATTTCATAAACTTTAAAAAAATTACTGAGACCTGTACAGTAAAACTACATTTACCGACAATGCTGAGAGGCTCTGAAGGGTTACATTAGACGGCCACAGTGTCTGAGGTCTAAAATTTTAAACTAAATATTGCTACAGTCATTCCTCATAAAAAATCTAACAATTACCATTATTACAAACATTAGTTATAATCTGTTCCTTGCAGGAATATCATTCAAGTTATTCCACATAAAACAGCACTTTAATAATGCTTTAATCTTATGAAAATAGATGACTCACTTCAAGATAGAAATGTCTACATAGGGGGTCCAAAATTAATAAAACATGCTTTACACAGAACCCTTTGGTGTGTTGATTTTATTAATACATGCTTGTATCATCCTCTAAATCGATCTTAGGGGAAAAAGACAAACACGGAAGACCTTTCTTTCTCTCCCCAGCTCCCAGATTTCCAGAGTAGCATATTTGACAAATTTGGCTCTTAATTGGATTTTTCTTAATGGCCTTGACTTCTGCCTATCAGGATCTCAAGCTGATCAGACAAGTTCAATTTCATAAACCTCTGCAATAGGAGTGAAGTCAGCGCTGATGCCTGTAACAGGGCTGAGTGCAGGTATTTCCTCCCAGGATGATTTGCCCCTGCTTCAGGGCACTCAGGATACTGCGGGCACTGGGTCAGGTCTGGGAGCCTCGGGACATCGTGGTGATTCAGCCGCGAGGAGCAGGGCAGTTACAGATACTCAAACACTGTGAACTCCCTTCGTCCTCGACACAGCGAGCCTTGGGGGCTGTCTCTCCCTGACCCGCACTCTGCTTCTCCCAGGCTGAGCCTACGCCTGCCAAAGCTCAGGCAGGGTGCTGAGTCACTGACAGCTGATGGGCAATTCGGAGACCTGACTTGGCACCTGCCATTATCTTCAGGCCTACAGCCCAGGCCAAAGCAGGCAAGTGAGGCAAATAGATTTGAGACCATTAATTAACTAGCGCTAACACATTTAACATCGGCACCCTGCTTTTGGCAGATAAGTTTATTATCAACATCATACTTTCCAAAGAATTTGAAAGAAACACGCAGAGGGAACTTCTCTGAGCTTACTGGTTATGTAGTAATAGTTTTACAACATTAGCAGTAGGAAATGACAGAAAAGTTGTGGATTGTGTTGTTACTTTCTTAAATAGAAGATCCTGTTCTTAAAATTACAAGATAATTGTTCCTTTAAAGGTACAGTAGGCTTTGAACAAAGGGAGATGTGCACACAGTAGGTAGATACCATTTACTGTGTGTGTGTGTGTGTAAAACAGTCTCCTTAACTAACTCCACACGGGGAATAAAGGAAATGACATCAGTCCCGCCTGGAGCAGCATGCAGGCCAGCGGACTTCTGTCTTGCTGCTACTGGCCATGTGTTACTCGATGACTCGCGACCCTTCTCTAGGGGGAGCAGTTTGTCCGGTGGCAAAGGAACACTGTAAAGCAGATGTGACACAGGCTCACTGGCTGTCATTCTGTTATATGTGTGTTTTATAAAACAAAGAGGAAGCCAATTCCATGGCCGCCTTTACTAGACTACTGCACTGGAACATGAGCTGGTGAGTGCGTCCCTCGTGCCTGCATTATTCCTTTGGTGAATTTCCAGAGTAACTCATCTTCCCCGGCTCTACACTGGGAATATCAAAGTTAAAGAAGGACTAATTATGCAAATTACATTTTTAGCTATCAATTGGTAATTTAATACCCTTGCATTATTGAAACAGGTAAATATATTAGAAAGAAAACAGTTTACCAGCAAATATGAAAGCTTTGATTCCTGTCTTGATCATTCTTTCCTTACCAGCCCAAATGCAGAAGTCTCATATTCATGACAAGGGAAAGCAGTGGGAGATGCACAGTCTAAGTCCTCAAAAATGAATTATTATATTTTCAAGGGAAATCTGACAAAACCTCATTTAACCATTTTCTTATAATTTAAAATATATATTTATATAATCATTATATGCTTAGATGTGGGTAATAGTTCTTAAATAACAATCATCTCTAAATTTTAAAACATTTCTTTTTAACAAAATAAATGACAGTACTTGTAACTTTGGGAAGAGAGTTCAACTATTTTGAAGTGCAACTAAGTATAGTAACATGTAGCTGATTAATCATTCTCAGCACTGTAATTTATTGCTGCCATTACCTGATAAAAATCTCTGACAATGTACCTTATAATGGGACACCAGGCAAAATGCATATGCAGTAACTTTCTGCTGTAACTTAGAAAGGATATGCTAACCCCAAATAGGATAATTCTCATCTGAAATCCTTTATTATAAAGTTTAGCTTACAAAAAGGCAAGAGCAATTCTAGGTTGGCCACAAAAGAGGCTTTTCTCTTTTTTATTGATTGAGTTATCCATAATATTTCGATTTGTATAATTAAAGGTATTTGCAATATTTAAATACTGTCCAAAATTGTTTTTATTGATATGGTTGAACTTTACATTATCATAAAATACTATGAACAGAAGCTTCAGAGAAAATAAGGCAAATTTAGATACTTAAAGCATGCAAAAGATTCAATGATAACACATTAAATTAATAATATACTAATGGTACCCAATTTACCCACTATGGGTTCTTCATATTCTGTGACAAAAATAGTAAACATCAGTTTGAAATTTGGTGAATGGACCTGATTCCTGATTTATATGTAAGATATTCTACACCCTTTGCATTTATATGGTGCTAACTTTACTGGTTGTGTTACAGTACTTTAGGAGAAATCTGTTACCAGTATCAATTCACTACCCAGACTGCAGTAAATAATGGTTGGAAATGCATTCTCCTAAATTCACCTGCAAACTTCTAAAGCACTACTGAATTACCAAGGGTCACGCAGGGACCGAGATTCCTGACTATTCATGTTAGCTTCTCCCATGAAAAGCTTCAAATATAACTCTAATAAAAAAATAGAGTTCTCAACACAAACTTTCAGCATAATTTACAGAAGCAGATTTAAATAGAGTCAATAACCAAGCTAATACTAAAAAATACACATGAAGGAGGAATTCTCGCTCTTTTTCTCTTGATATTAAAATATAGTGGCCTCAGCAACAGGCTGAAATGCCATGAGGAGTCCCATAAGCACAAGGGACAAATCCAGACAAAGAGATAGAAAATGTCTCTTTATTCACAAACTGTGGCATGTTCAGGCTCAAGGTGGAATGTGCAGGATTCATGTTAAGCTTTCTGATTGTTTGCCACTGTAACTCTGTATGGGGGTGAACTACTCGAGGCTTCAGAAAGGGATTTCAGAGCTAATGTGGCCATTCACGGGATGATCGTACTCAATTTTAGGACAGGAGGTGAAATGGCTCCCACAAAGTACTACTGCCCCCTTAGCAAGTAGACGAGTCCATTGTGGAGAGAGTCAAGATGCTCCTGTCGTTGGTATAGAAAGGATCCGACGCACTCCATGATCTAAAGTAACAATAAGAAAAAAGTTTGGCTCACCAGGACCTAGGTTTTAATTGAGAAAAAAATAGACTCTGACACAGGATCAAAATGCAATTTGAGCTTTAAAATAATGAATGATTCATTTTTTAAATGCTAAAGAAAAGTTCCTCATGCTACACTGAATGCTCTATTCATGCCATCCAAAAACTTGGAAAAAATAATGCCCTAGTCATCATACAGAAATATTAGCCAAAATGCAGACATTCATTCGCATAAAGACAATCTCCATAGGTAGTAGAGCATGAGATACTTTTAAAATATTAACAATTATTAAGAAATAAGTATTTTATTAAGAGTAAGCATATTTAGTTTTACTGAAAAGCAATTAGGTTGTATTTTGACATTGCAGAAGCAAACAAAAATCCCACTTACCAAAAGCTCTGGAAATAATTAGTAGTTTGTTCATATTACTGGTCATTTCTTCTCTACTATAAAACTATTCTAAATATTTTAGCCTGATCAGCTTTTATGTAGTAAATGGTTTACTCAATAAGTATCAAAGACACCTGTAGGTCTCCAGTGTTTTCACTCCACTCTGAACACATGATCCTCTACTGGTCTGGAAAAGTTAACTGTTGTCTGAATGACAAGGTCCTTAAACAAAGTCATTCCATAATACTTTACTGGCAGCTGTAAACTTAAATTAGCTTGAGTTAACTTTAGCTAAAATAACTCAAGACCAAAAGTAACCGAACATGCTTCACATAGACTGGCCTAGTTCAAGGACAACATTAGGATTACCAAATAAAAGGTAGTTTTTCTTGTGAGATTAAATTGATGCCAGAGTTCCCACTTTCTCTAAGCAGAGATGTTAGTGCAAGAGACTAACATTTCAAATGGTCCCAATCCATCCTATACCTGTACATATCTCATTTCCTAGAGATTCTAAGCTTGGACTCAGTTTATGTTCGAATCAGTCATCAAGGGAGCTCAGCCACAGTGAAGTCTGACACGTTGAAATTTTACAGAGTTGGCAGACAGAAAGACAAGCAGCGATGGCACCAGTTCTCTAATTTAGTTTCCGGAAAACCTTGAAGTATCTCAGCCTATGGAAGGACCTGTTCCCCTCTGTTCTCTAGCACCTCGCACTGTGATTGGCACTTATTAGGTACCTGGGATTTACAGAATAAGTGAACAAATGAAATTATACAATTTCTTAAACAGCTAAGTGTTTGTAGGGGAAGCAGTATACTTTTAACTGTAACTTTGTAACTATCAGTGCCCAATTATCTGGAGTCAGGTGTCCAATTCTAAACTGTCAATGATTTATGTTAGTTTTTCCTCTTTCCAACCATTGCTTACACAGAAGAATCATGTTAGGTAAGTTTTTCGTTTTTTTTCTCTTTTCAGAGCATACATGTGCAGCATTCATAGCTTAAATATCATTTTTGACAGAACATTAAACACCTCAACCACATATACACTATTTAAACTCCTTTCCATTTAAAAGATAGTTTTGATTAGGATAAAGTTGCTGTTGGTAAAATACAGGACATCATTCACTGCTGAAATGTAGCTCTGTAGGATGTGACAGGGCACATTGGAGCACCATGACCCTCCCTTTGAAACTAAGCTTGCAATATGGCATTTTTCCTTAACAACAGCAATACAATCGAAGGAAAATTTTTGTGCCTGGGTGGTAAAAATTCCATCAGGAGACAACTCTGTCACATAGAAGCACTAGTTGTATTTCTCAAATGATGTCCATCACTCTTTTGCTTATTTATTTGAGAGGCAGAGAGAGAGAGAGACCAAGAGAACATGAGCTCTCATCTACTGGCTTATTCCCCAAATGGCTGCAAGGATGCTGGGAACCAGGAATACAATTTGAGTCTCCCATGTGGCTGGCAGGAACCCAATTACTTGAGCCACTACTGCTGCCTCCCAGGGGTCTGCATTAGCAGGAAGCTGGAGTCAGGAGCCAGAGCCGGGAATTGAACTCAAGCAATCTGACATAGGACATAGGTGCCTTATTGGTGGCTTAATGCCTAGGCCAGATGCCTGTGCCTAAAAATGACTTTTAAAGTTAAAATATTATGTTAATGGACCTATGGAAATTTTCAGATAGCCCTTTGAAAAGCACCAAGTAGCTCTGTGTGTTATATGATTTTATCCTCTAGAAAAAAATTATGAAATCTGAAAAGATTTTTTAAATCACTCATCTGAGGAAAAAAGGGAGAAAATGACAATAATAACCAATAATATAACCTGAAATGTTAGATAAAATTGGAAGGGTATTTATAGTCTGTCAAATATTATATTAACTACTAAGTTAAACATTAATTAAGGAAAATGAAAAAACAAAATATCAGAAAAGAAACAGTACAATTTTAAGTGAAAAGAAGTACAGATGATAACAGCCACCTTCAGAACATATCAAAGTGAGTCTGAAAGCCCCGGGGCAGGTTCCACAGGGGTAATGCAGCAGAAACATAGCTATGTGATGAGAGTGACAGCACAGTACCTACACAGCCGACAGCAAGAAAATGGGCATATGTGTAAAGCAGAAAACACTTTTTGGCTCTTTTAAAATTAATTCTAGTTAAAAAAATCATTAGCAAAGATATACTTTGCCATTAAGGAGAAATTTCTGTTAAAATAGAAATTTTAAAAACTCTGTAGATATTTTATTGTGGTATTTTAGTCTAATTCTCATCTCAGTTCTTTGCAGTAAAGCTGTGTTATTATATTATGTTAAATAACATAAATTAGATCCTTCTGGAAAAACCTTTGGGAAACTCACTAGCCTAGGTATATTACAGAACTATTTTCTTATATTTTACAATACAATTGTGTACATTATAACAAAGTACTAATAAATTTAGTTGCTCATATAATCCTTTTATATGAAACAAATTACTACAAAATGATATCACAGTATTATGGAAATATTTTGGATCACATGTTATTTGTAATCAACTCAGAATAAATGGGAATTGAAACAAGAGATGTTATATTAATACAGACATGCCATTTATAAAGTTGATTGTACCATAAAGGCATGGCCCCCCCCCCAAAAAAAAGAAGAAAAATAGCTAAAACTAAAGTGACTACAAGTTCAACAGTAAAGGTTACCTGAATTTTATGATACATGAATGATATCATACTCTTCATTTTTTAGAACACAAAGCTAACTAGGTATTAAAATTCTTTCATCAACAGAAGAGAGTGGGGCCTTCTCACCCTTCTACTCCCGCTCTTGAGCCACACTTCCACTCCTAAGCCACGGCACAAGCAGGAAATGACCATGCTCAACTGGCACACTGAGGACAACGGGAATCGACCTCAGCTCCCGCCCACCGGTGCCAGGCTGCTCTGATCTGTTGAGTATGATATCATTCACTTGAAGAACAGCAAGCACAGAAAAAGCCATTTCTACTCCGTACCTTTTGGGGGAAAGTATGAAGAAATGAATCCCTTTCATTTTCAGGTGAATTTTAAATGGCATTTAACAAAAACTGGTAGTTTTGGTTAAAATCCACAGAAGCAAGCACTGTGATAACTCTAATTCAAGAAACAGATTCTGGAGGGGACAAAATGCTAAGATTCTTCTAATGTGTACTTTTAAAAGTCTATTCTAATTGCTACACTTTTAATTAGAGAATAAATACCAAACAAATGAAACTGAAAAATCATAACTTATTTTATAACATTTTTACAGACATGAGGAGTAGGGAGCAGAAATACAGCCTTTTATGTTCATAAATATCTCAAAAAGCCTCTGAGGACTGACTAGAAAACGCTCATGAAGAAAAGCAAAGCCTTTTGATTTGTGATGATTTTGTAAAGACAAAAAGCAAAATTTAAGAAATGCAGGTAATGAAACAGTATATAGGTGTAATTTAAAAAAGAAAGTTATACAAACTATGAAAGAGTAAAATACACACATTCCTAACCACCACATTTTGCAAAGATTATAAAACACTTTTTTTTGCTCATTAGATGAAGTCTCTTCAAAGGTGCTTTCTCTTCCTCTGTGAATGACAGAACCCTCTGCCCCAAGCTACCGTGCCATCTACCAGCCAAGTACGCTAGTACACTGTGGCCTTCCTGCTTCAGTTGGTAACACCAGCTGCTGATTTATTAGGGATCTGCAGGGGCAGGGTCATCCTGTTCCAGCCCAGAGGCTACTCATCTGCAGCACAGGCTACTTAGAGAAATTTCACACCTGCTGATGTGGGTAGGACTACATCTTCCTATAACTCGTTCCAGCATTCTTCTAACAGATGTGCACGTTGTTTCTCCTTCTGGGAAACAGCATAGGGAGTCCACGCACTTGATACTTGAATTTGTTTCAGTAAGCTAGAGGAGTTGAAGCAGAAAAAAATTAGTTATTTATAGATTTGGGACTTACAAAAAGCAATAAAAAACTTAAAACAAGCACTTTGCAGCCAAAAGTAATTTATATAGATAGACATGCTTTCCTAAAATATGGAAATGTATGAAAGGCTTCGATTTAACAGAGTATATTCTTACAAAAATACTTAAAAGTTTTATGCTCTAAATTAGGTGTCTACTAGAATAATTACATAAAACAAGTAGCTGGATATTATTTAAATCTGCAAAGGTTTAGGACTTTATCTCTTCAATACTTTATTGTGGTTAAAATGGTTTATATGTCAACCACTCAGAAACTTAATGAATTCTAATTCTTCTTGAGGTTTTTGTTTAGGTGGGACACTCCTGACATTCTTATGAGAAAAGTGGAGTGTCAACTATCTTGAAGACTGGGAAGGACAAATCAGGCAGGACCTAATCCCAATCTTCAGGAATGACAGCTACAATAACCACAACAACAGGGACAAGCACTTTACCAATGTTTACTATGTGCCCGGTTCTAAGCACTCTATATAAATCTATTCCATGATTACCTTTGGAAAAGGTATGATTCACCTTAAATCGCTAAAAAGCAATTAAATGCCAATCGTGCTAATTCTTTTTTTTTTTTTAACAGCAATGGCACATTGTTAAAATGTATTAATGAAATAATTCATACAATCAAGATTTAAAATTGAATTCAATTTTCAAATACAGATTTATATTGATTCAGGCATAGACAGCCCAGTAAAATAACTTAATTCTATACTTTTAACAGTCTTAATGGTGTTAAAATGGAAGGGAAAAATGGTGTGACTATGTTGCTCAATGAATCCCAACCCTGGTTTTGCTAGTCAAGAGTGCTCCTAATTTGTCAAGGGTTGCCATTTTTTTAAAAGTTATTTTATTTCACTTTTCTTTACATACAGAGCATCCTATATAACAAATCTTTTGAAGATTTTGAGGAAGAACAATAAAAACAAATTCCCTAGAGGTTGGGAATCATGGTATGTTGGGGACAGGCAATGGTGGAAATGCACACAATGGACACAGAGACAGATGTGGTGGGGCAAGAACAGCCTGGCACCCTGGTGAGGCTCAATGATCCTACTGGATCTGGAGCAGTGCAAGCTACAACTGGGTTCATTTGGCAACTATCCAAACAAGAAAGAGCCACATCGCACTTGCTCTTCCATTATAGTTCTTGGTTTAGCATCCATTAGGATACTGTTCTTCCACTGTGTTTTGTTTACAGACATTTCATGAAAAAAAGTTCTGCTGGCAATTGTTTGGGAAACACTAGTTCAACTGAAACTCTACCAGGGACTCTTAAAGTAAAGGACTGTCAGTAAGTCAGGATTCACAGTCAGTCTCCAGAGGGAAACGAGACATCCTAATTCTCCAACTTGTTTTTGGAGTAAATTCCCCTATCCCTCACCAGGAAAAGTTAATCAACATGGGGATGAACAATAATATTCAGAGTGGGGCAGGTACAACGGCACAGCTGTGAAGCTGCTGCCGGGGGCACCGAGTGCCTGATCCAGTCCCGGCTGCTCTGCTTCCAATCTCGCTCCCTGCTGATGCGCCTGGCAGGCAGCAGATGATGACCCGTGTACGTGGTTTCCCACCACCCATGTGGGAGACCCAGATGGAGTTCTCAGGGGAATGAACTGGGGGTTGAAAGATTTCTTCCTTTGTCTTTCAAACAAAATAAACAACTTTAAACACATATTCAGAGGAACAGTTTTGGAAATAAAGTTTAGGTAACAGGATTTAATCAGGTACCCGATTTTTACTTTGGGCCCCTGGGTTCCAGTTTCCCCTAATTTCAATTTTACCTTCTGCAAGAACCAGGATTCTGGGGCTTCCACAGGCTCAACGGATAAAGTACAAGGCTCAGGGGACCCTGAGTGCGCTTTCTAACCGGCCTCCATGCTGCCTTTCCTGCTCTACTTCCCAGTGCTCCTGTGTAGGCACCACACCAGCCGGGCAGCACTTGCTACCTGTGGTATATGGCAGGGCTGTCACCAGGTAGGGTCAGAATGCTGACTACCATGCCCAAGTTTAGTTTAAATTCCATCATCTCCTTGAAACTTCTCTCCCTTTGCCAACCATGACTAGTCACTTCCTATCTGGATCCTATTCCAGTGTTTGTATCATTTAAATGGCACAAGCACTTAAATTCAACTTTCATTTACTGAGTAGAGTACTGTGCCAGTTCCCACAGGGGATAGCAACCTTGCTCTCAGTTTAGAGTTAAGGGTAAAGAACACGGCGGGAGAGAAGACAAGCACAGGAGAGCATGCTACGCTCCATGCCAGGGGAAGAAGCCGCACGTGGAAAGTTCCACAACCTTTAACAACCCTAAGAGGCACCGAGATCATCTCCATTTTTGCAGATAAGACAAAGAGATACAAAATCTGTTCCATCACTCACTCAGCTGGGGCTTGAGTCTTGGTTTCTCTGATTCCAGACCCCAAGCCACTTTACCATGCACCATATTGCCTTCTTCTAACTGTGGTGTGAGGCAGACTGCTCAGAAGAGAGGAGGGAAAACTCAGGCTCAGTGGTTGTTGCAGTTACTGGTAAGAGGGCAAGAAAGTCTGGATGAAAAAGATGGTATTCGGCACATATCTGGAAGGATGGGTGGGATTTCAGTAGCTGGAGAAGGGAGAGAAAGGACATTCCAAACTGATGGAAGGAAATGAGTAACTGTGTGGGCAAAAGTGTGGATGGTATGTATCCAGCAGAAGCTCAGCCTGAGTGTAAGGGAGTACTATTATTATTATTGCCCTCTTGTGAGTAGCCAGTGTGACTCACATTGTGATCCCCACACTGCTGACCCATAAACCCTCAATTACGGGCCTGTGAGGAGGTCAGTGCTTCTGGTCTGTGAGAGTGACAGCTTTGAAAGTTTTACAGTAATCTGATAGAACACTCTTAACTGTTCAAGCCAATAATTTAAGAATCTGAACTTATTTCATATATCTTTTAAAATTAATTTTCCTAATTCTTTAGTTTACTTACAAAACTATTGGTTCACGATGGACTGGGAATTAAAAACAAGAAAACAAAACAATGAACTGGTCCTTCACTTCATGGAAATACTGAAACAGACCAGAAACTCAAGAACAAGGATCTTCTCTGGTATTTCTTAGATGAATAACATGTGACGGGGCTGGCACTGTGGCTAGTAGGTTAAACCCCCACCTGTGGGGGCGGCATCCCATATGGGTGCAGGCTCGAGTTCTGGCTGCTCCTCTTCCAATCCAACTCCCTGCTAGTGGCCTGGGAAAGCAGTGGAAGATGGCCCAAGTGCTTGGTCTCCTGCACCCATGTGGGAGACCTGGAGGAAGCTCCTGGCTCCTGGTTTCAGATCAGCCCGGCTAAAGCCGTTGCGGCCATTTGGGGAGTGAACCAGCAGATGGAAGACCTCTCTTTCTGTCTCTCCCTCTCAAATAAATAAATCTTTAAAGAAAATTAATAATATGTGCTTTGCTCATAGCTGGTGCTCAGTCAACTGAAAGGGATTTACAGAAGCTGACATCCAGCCAGTCACTAGCAAGTGATGGTCCATCCACGTGCAGAACGCAGCTTGGGTGTGGATCTGACCTTAGGTAATTACATTATTTTGCATGCGTCACTTTTTCAGTTAAGAGCAGGTATTAAAATATAGGCAACCCAATGGAGAGAACAAACACTTTGAAGTTTCAGAAATATTATAAAGAAATGACTTCTTCAGATCACTTTCTGAACCAAATAAAATATATTTCCTTTATTCCTTAAACCAAATGAAGCCTGGCTAGTTTGAAAATGCTAACTGCTGGTTAACTGTGTAAAGTTATCTACAGAAAATGCTACCCTAACTTCCAAACTCGACTGCTTTCCCACGTACACATCTTTGATCCCAATATTCAGGAACTGGGAGCTCAGCCAGAGTACACGGAGCCACAGCTGCCAGGATAACCTGGGGTGGGGATGGGACGGCTCTGAGTTTCGTATCATCTGAAGAGAGGGAATCATTATATTTTGGGGCAAGGGAACAGAGAAAAGAAAAAATGCAAACTAATGGGAATCAGACTGCACCTGGTGGCACAAAAAATTAGCTTTTAAATTGTCAGAAATTTTGGTTAATTGGTAAGCCTCATTCTCCACCACACTTGCTTCACAGGAACGACCACATAATTTAAGAGCTAGAAGGTCTGCCAAGCAAAACAACTATGGATATTCAACATGACTATGTATGGCAAATGAAAATGTTCATCTTTTTAGACCTTCCTTCTTGAAATAAATTCTGGCTCGCTGCTCTTATTTCCACTATTTTCATATCAATGACGGTAAACGCTACAAATTTCTCTTAAACAAAAATATCTTCCTTAAATCTTATGTTAGAAAACTGTATGGCATTCCAATTTATTTTTTAGTTATTTCTATAACATCTTATCCTATCAAGTCATTTCTAAAAAAAGTTTAAAGCCTGCCAAACTGTTAACCACATTAGGTCTTTCGCATTTCAATTGTATTACATCCTGTGCAATCAATGTGACCATCTTGCATAGCCTTAAGGGAGATATCTGGAAAGAAGCTTTAAACTGTAATTATAAAAAAAAAAAAAAAGAAAAAGAAAAAAATTTGTGTTTGTGGGAATGATTTTCTTTCCAATGTAAAAGTCATCAGACATTAGTAGTTTCCAGATCGACTAGAATTTGGCTGGAGTCATCAAATATCCACACCAAGTAACAGCTTCCTCTCATCACAGAGAAGCCCAGCAAGGAGTGCAGTGCAGCAATGGGCAGCACCTGGATGGCTGCGGTCTGACTTGAGCCTGTCTCCCCCAAGCATGCGTCAAGCTCACGTTCGTCCTCTAAACTCCCTTCCCTCTTCTTTCCTAAGTAAAGCAAACAACTTGGAAATACTGGAAGTTGAAAGACAGTTTGAAAGAGGATTATAAAACATCAAAACTTCTATACTGTCTTTCAGGGATT